CTGGTCTCAGGTTACCTTTGCTGTTTAGTAGAGTAGATCTGCTTTAACACCTCAGTCACCACTTGTACTTGAGACTTTTCTGTATGTACTCCTCCTCTATTCACCTCCCATCTCCCTGTTACTCCAAATCAGTGGGCTGTGGTGGAATCAGAGCCCTGCCTCTGAGCACACTGCCTGGCCACATAATGCTCCCTGGGTAGATATTTGTTGAATGAATAAGAAATAAAGAAATGAAGGAGACATTTCTACACATGCACGGTCATCAAATGCTTTCTTGGTCAGAGCAAATAAGAAGATGGTGGTGGGGACTCTTTTTTCCCATTCGTTGTCTGGCCTGGGTCTGAGGCTCACGATTAGGTTCTCATAGTCACAGAGATCCAAGGCAGTATTTTCTCACCCACTTAACTCCTCCACGACGATGAGTCACATTGTAAAACAGGGTGCCATTTTAAATCAGGCCTGCTCTAGCCTGGCCAATCCCAACACCACTGTTGGCCACTGGCTCCTCCGCACTCCATGACCGTTTAGTTTAGTTATTGCTTAGCCATGTTGACCATTCTTCCCTAGGGAGCATGTGTGTTTTAAAAATAACAGCTTTTTTGAGATATAATTCACATACCACACAGTTTATCCATTTAAAGGGCACAATTCAAACATTTTAAAGTATATTCACAGAGTAGTACAAACCATCAATTTTAGAACATTTTCATCACCTCCGAAAGAAACTTCAGCCTCATTAGGTGTCACTCCCCATCCCCCAGATTTCCCAGCTTAGCGCAGGCTGCAAGCTTTCTATTGTGCATCTCTCTCTCTCTCTCTCTCTGTCTATCTTGTCATTACTGGGGTTTTTGAGCACACAGTCTTACATTTGCTAGGCAAGCACTCTACTACTTGAGTCGCACACACACCCCAGCCCTTTTTGCTTTGGTTATTCTTCAGATATGGTCTCATACTTTTGCCTGGGGCCAGCCTCAGACCACAATTCTCCTACCACCACCTCATGGGTAGCTGTGATTTCAGGAATGCACCACGATGCCTGGCCCCATTGTCTCTTCTTATGAGAATGCTATTTCTACTGGATCAGGGCTCCATCCTTGTTACCTCACTTAACCTCAATTACCTCCTTATAGGCCCCATCTCCAAATATAGTCACATTGGGTGTTAGGGCTTCTGCATATGAATTTGGGGTGGGGGAGGGGAAATGCAGTTCAATCTAAGCACCAGCCATAATTTATTTTCTGTCTCTGTGGATTTGGCTGTTCTGGACATTTCATATAAATGGGAATATGTAATCCATGGCCACTTACATCTGACTTCACTCACTTAGTATGATGTTTTCAAGGCTCATTCACATTGTAGGATTTCATTCCTCTGCATGACTGAATGATAACCAAATGCAAGGATCAGTCACATTTTGTTCATCCATCAGTGAATGGGCATTTGACTTGTTTATATTTTGGGCTATTATGAATAAATGCTGCTGTGCACATTCGTGTATAAGCTTTGGGGTGAGCCTGTGGTTTTGATTGCCTTCTACCTACAAGTGTAATTTGTGGGTCATATGGTAACTCCACATTTTACTTTCTCCGAAACTGCCAGACTGTTTTCCGAAGGGGCGATATTTTATACCAGCAGAGTATGAGAGTTCCAATTTCCCCACATCCTGCCAGCACTTGTTATCATCTCTGTTTTTATTATGGCCAGCCTAGTGACTGTGAGGTAGCGTCTCCCTCTGGGTGGGAGTTGTATTTCCCTGGTAGCTAGTGGTGTTGAGTATCTTTTCTTGTGCTTGCTGGACATTTTTATGTGTGCTTTGGAGAAATGAATGCTCAGATCCTTTGCCCATTTTTAAATTTGGATTATTTCAGCCTTATATTATTGAGTCACAAGAGAAGGCTTATGTATGGTGGATATTAGAGTCTTATCAGATATGTGATTTATAAGTATTTTCCCAAATCTGTCTTTTCACTATGTCCTTTGCAGCACAAGTGTTTTTAATTTTGATGAATTACATCTATTTTTTCCTTTGTTAGTTATTGTTTTTGTGCCATATCTAAGAAACCATTGCCTAATCCAGAGTAACAAAGATTTGTACTTATGCTTTTTGTAAGAGTTTTATAGTTTTAGCTCTTACATCTAGGTCTTTGATCCATTTTGAGTTAATGTTTATATATAGTGTGAGGTCACATGCTGTTTTTGAAAACAAGTTAAAGTGATAAATAATCTGGAGTTTAAAATATGCAACTGTCTTTGGTTTTAAATGAAAACCATGTGATATTTTGTTAAATGTACCCTTCAATGGAAAGAAAATAAACTTCAGTCCTAATGAGGCTGATATGCTCAAAACTTGCTTTAAAAAGTTGATAAGCTAAGAATTGTTAGAAAAAAACAACATTTTTGTTTTTCAAAAATCAACTTCTTTCAATGAATGTTTAACTAAAACAAGCCATATTTTGCTATGTTACGTAAGTGATATTTTTAGATGCATTAAAAACATCTTTAGTCCCCTATTGTATGCCTTCGGTGGTATGCAGTGGTTGTCAGTCAGGGTTGATTTTGCCCCTGAGAGGGCATTTGGCAGTGTCTGGAGACATTTTTGGTTGTCACAGCTGGAGGGACAGTGCCGTTGGCATGTGTAAGATACAGACTAGAGAGACCACTAGTCTAAAGAAGTGGAACAGCTCTACAATGAGAACCCTGCTTTATGTACATCAGTGTCCCCTGTCCTGGAGATTCAACAGGTGATGCAGGTCTGCAAACCTGTTTCCAACCCCGTGGACTTCTTCCTTCACAATGCTGAGACTTTGGAGGCTGGAATGTGGCCGGCCCTTACTGCCATCAAAACCTTCTATGGTGATCATAATCTGTGGGTGTCCCCTTGAGGGGCCATAGGGAAAACACGCATACTTGTTACAGAGCTTACTACAACTTATATTTTTGTGTTTGGGTTTTTTTATTATTATTATTATTTTAAAGTATCTTTGGATGTTATATTTCCTGTTACCCATGTAACTGATCTCCTGCTGAAATGTATTGTATCTGATTATACAACAACAGTGACAAGAAATTACCATTGGGGTGCTTACTATATCAGGCACTGTGCCCAGCACTCTTCATGTATTATCTAATTTAATTTTCCCAACAAATTTAGAGAGAGTCACTATCATTACTCACATCTTCCAGCCATAGAAACTGCAGCACAATGAGGTTAGGGGACTTGCCTAAGAGCACAGACTTGCATTATCATTACTTCAAGGCAGGGCTCCAGCCTGATGTGAACTCACCTGAGAAGTGCTGGTATGTCACAAAGCAGTGGGGTTATCCACTACAGAAATCTCAGAGGGACCCCTGCAGGGCAGTGACACGTGCCCTCACTCACATGCACCACAGGAAGCATCCTGCCATGGGACAGGAGAAGACATCTACCCTGCACCTGCCTGGCTTACCTGCGAGTGTCACCTGTTCTGCCTGCTGCCCAAGGGAAACTGGGGCACGTGTGGCATCGTGTATTCCTGATTGTCACCCCCAAATCACTCGAGGCTTCATTTTCCACCTTACTGGCCTGTGGCCTCAATCATTTGTTCATACACCAGCCCTATCCTCAGGCCCTTTAACTCCACCCCCTAACTGCATGGGCCCTACTCTCCATGGTGGGGCATAGGGCACGCTCCACTTTTCCCACCTTGCAGCCCTGCTTGCTGAAACAGCAGTGAAGCATTAGACGGGGAAGACATTTTTAAAAATCACATTCACTAGCCCATAACATCCTCCTCCCTGCTTCATCCCTCTCAGTGCAGGCACAGGACCATCTCCATATGCCTCTCATTCCCCTCCAGAGGGGAATGAGAATCAGAAGGGAACTGGAGAGTGGGTGAGGGATGGGAGATGAACATTTGGAGGGTACTGACACTTAAGATGGAACGACTCTCTAGTTTAGCCTGTTTGGGAGGCTGCCCATCCGCCACCCAGCTATCCTCCTGTAGCTCTGCCAGTGCAGGAGGGGCAAGGTGAGCACAAAGGATTACAAATGAAGCTTTCCTGTCCCCCAGATCTCAGGGAGATCCCTGGGTTTATTCCCAATCTGCCCCTGAAAACTGCTTAAACAAGTCTTTCCTTGCTTTGGGCCTCAGTTTCCCCTTGAAGGGAGGGTGTATGCATTAGGTTGTCTCTAAACATTCTTGCAACATTGAATATCATTGACTCTTGAAGGTGCTGGGGGCTGAATTAAGGCAAAGTCCATTCAAGTGATTCAAATCCACCCTAATTAGGAATCTGCTTTAGTAGTGAGCCCACGCCTAGAAGTCTGCCCATGTTTGAAGAAGAGAATGCAACAATTGGTCAATGCTATCTTTCTTGAGAGACCCATCTCCAGGGGCGACGTTCAAAATATTTAACAACCAACCAGTGTATCAGGAACACAGACCCACTGGAGGCTTAGAAGCCCCACTAGAGCCACAGGGACTGCTGGCCAAGCTCATCTCGCCTGCCTCGCCCACCTTGCAGTTCTGCCAGGCCTTATTTCTATTTATTTTGGGTTTCTGCTTCTTTATGCCTGGTTCTGACCAAAGGCCCTACCTAAACCTTCTTTGGCTTCTTGTCTCCAACTACTTGATATTCCACTGCTTGTGCATCCAAACCCAATTTAGTCCTACTCACCACTCAACAGGTTCTCCAGGTAGCCCTCTGTGCTCAGCCTGGGTCAGCCACGCTGGCCCCTGACCCCTGGCCTTTACAAATGTTACAAGCAGGGACACCAGAGGATTAAGAGTCCTGAGCCCCAGCCTATTTTGGCCCCTGGTCTGCCATGTGACCTTGGTCAAGTCCCTGCCTCTCTTAGTCTTTCCCATTCATTGCATGTAAAGGAGGGACTTGGTCTGAGGCCCTGAGGCCCCTGCTGGTCAGTGATGAGGTTCTGGATAATTGCAAGTTGGCAGCAGCTGATCGCTCTCTCTCTTTCTCTCTCCTTCTCTCTCTCCTGCTGCCCCCCACCTCCACCATAGAATGCTCTGCTGCCTGCAGGCCTGAGGCAGAAGGACCAGACCACCAAGGCGCCCACAGGCCCCTTTAAGAGAGAGGAGCTCTTGGATCACTTGGAAAAGCAAGCAAAGGAGTTTAAGGACCGAGAAGACCTGGTCCCCTACACGGGGGAGAAACGAGGTATTGGACAATGCTGCTCTTATGAACATGTCATTCCCTGGGCATCACTGAGGGCAGCCTGTGTGCCAGGCGTGCTTCCTTGTTTTCCTCATCAGGAGGACAGGACAATTCCAACTCCAAAAGCTTTGATGCGTGGTGTGGAATTAGTCAGTTTGGAAGTAGACTGAGGAAAGAAATTCCCCCAGACCAGCCAAAGCTCTCTGGAAGTCCTCTTTTTTTAAGGTGTTCTGATTACTTTCATTCCAATGTAGAGCTTTTTGTGGGGGTGAAAGAGGAAACTATTAATAATGATTCAGGACCTGAGGTCCAAACAGGGACCATCCTGTACAAATGGGGAACAAGAGACACCATCCTAACTTCCTCCACTCTAAATCTGCTCTTTCTCCAAAGTTCCTCTCTCTCTGGCAGCTATAGTGTCCCTTCCTTTGCCTGTCCCTCCAAGCCTCTCTGCTCCAGTCTAAGACTAGAAGTTCCCAGGGGAGCAGAATGGTGGTCTCTGTCCACCCTCCCAGTCCTTCCAAACAATCCTGCCCTTCTGTGTACATGCTTATCCTTGCTCATTGCCCCTGTTGCCTGAAGGGCAGCAGGGCAATAAGTAGGGTAGAACAATAAGTTTGAAACTGCGAATCAAATTTTCAAGGTTCTTTTCTGCCTCAGGACCTTTGCATGTGTCCTAGGCCTGGTATACTGGCACACTGCCCAGCTTCATGCTGTCCTTATGGCTGTGTCTTTCTCCTCTGTAAGAGATATAGTGTTTGGAAATAGCCTGGAGCTAGACCTGCCTCAGTTGCAGCCCAGACACCATTACTTACTAGCTGAGTGAGCCCAATAAATCACCTCTGTTTATTTCCTCCTCTTCAAAGTGTGGGTGAGGGCGATAACTCTAGCAGCCCCTGAGGCTTATAAGTGAAGAGATAGATAGATGCGAAGTTCTTAGGACCTCGTATGCACGCAGCAAACGTTACGCAAGCTGTGCTGATGTCCCTTTCAGGGAAGCTGTCCCTGTCGACTCTGAAAGGACCCACAGTCTCCTCTGTTCATCCCTGAATATTTCCCATCTCAGGAGCCTGGCTGTGTCCCTCACAGCTATTCACATCCTACCGTATCTCTTTCTTTATCATCTTTTCTCTCTTTCTAGCCCGGATGCTCCCTGAGGGGACTTGGACCACTTTTGTTCATGTGGTACCTTCCAGCATCCAGCCAGCACAGGGCCTGGTCTGCAGCTGGGGTGAACAGAGTTGTTGGATGAATGAATGAGTTCAGGGTTTTCTTTACCCAAGGAACCTGTGCTGTGATCAGTGATTTCCGTAGGTTTCATGGGGTCTTACAACTCCCATAGTTCCACTTGCACATGTGAGAGCTTGTTTGGAGGTTCTAGCAGGGGAGCGCAGCTACTCGTATACCCTTGACCGAAGAACCGTCCTCTTCTATCTGGGATGCTCGTCCTCTTTGACCAAGCGCGCAGCTTTCGGAGGGACACACATGGGAGCGGTGAGGGAGGAAGGGGACACCCGCTTAGCCAGCTAGAGCAGCCGAATCAACCCTGGCGATCAATGGGGTGACAGATGTCGCAGCCAGATCGCCCTCACATCCCCACTTGCACATTTGAAAACTGGGGAAACTAAGGTTGTCAGACAGCCACCATCAGGCCTGTGGGGACAGTAGGATTTATTCTCTTTCCATGTGGCAACAAGACTAAAAGGTTCATCAGCATCATTGAATATTTAAATGACAGTGGTTGAAGTCCCACAGGTTGAATAAGCAGAGGAGGTGGGGCAGGAGCCCCCCCCCTGCTCTAACAGGCACCCAGGACCATTCAGTTCAGCTCTTAGTGAGCCCTTACCCCACAGTGGGCCTAAAACTACCTTGGGCTGAAGGGAATCAGCACCCGTCACCCAAAGACTCTGCAAGATGTGGTAAGAGCTATAAACCTGTGCAAAAGTCCTGAGGAGTCTGGTACAGGAGGCATTCCCATTGCAGTGGAGAGATCGGAATATAGCTCCATGCAGGGCATTTTTATTAGAGTTAGATTTGGCTGCCCATGCTGGGAAAGCAAGTAAATAAAAATAACAGTCTTAAGCAAGTCATATTGCTCAGTGTCAGAAATCAAGTTTCTTTCTAGCTTTTCATTCTGTCACCCCCTGCAATGTGTGTTTGTCCTCATGGTTCATCTAGCTGCTGAAGCTCCAGTCATTACATTCACATTCCACCTAGTAAGATGAGGGAAGAAAGGAGTTACAGTCACCATCCTCACCAGAGGCACCTGTTACAGGATTTAATGAACCATGGGTCTGAATGCTTGATGAAGGTTCAGCTTAGTTCTGGCATCAGCCATTGTCATAGTTGAATTCCTTTTTAAGGTTTTATTTTTCTTGTATGTTTCCCCTCTTATCTGGATCCCTGCATCATTTTTGCCCAGATGATTTTTGTCATGTGTTTTGCTTTTAGAGGTAAACAATTTAAACAACAAACAGTCATTTCTTCCATTGAAAATAAGCCCTACAAAATAGTTTCTGCTGGGTATTGAGGGGGTGGGGGTGAGAGGGAGGGGTGGAGTGGGTGGTAAGGGAGGGGGTGGGGGCAAGGGGGAGAAATGACCCAAGCCTTGTATGCACATATGAATAATAAAACAATAAAAAAAAAGAAAGAAAATAAGCCCTAATCCCATTTTATTTTATTTATTTATTTTTTTTTATTATTCATATGTGCATACAATGCTTGAGTCATTTCTCCTCCCTGCCCCCATCCCCTCCCTTACCACCCACTCCTCCCCCTCCTTCTACCCCCCAACTCCCTTGATACCCGGCAGAAACTATTTTGCCCTTATCTCTAATTTTGTTGAAGAGAGAGTATAAGCAATAATAGGAAGGAACAAGGGTTTTTGCTGGTTGAGATAAGGATAGCTATACAGGGAGTTGACTCACATTGATTTCCTGTGCATGTGTGTTACCTTCTAGGTTAATTCTTTTTGATCTAACCTTTTCTCTAGTTCCTGGTCCCCTTTTCCTATTGGCCTCAGTTGCTTTTAAGGTATCTGCTTTAGTTTCTCTGCGTTGAGGGCAACAAATGCCATCTAGTTTTTTAGGTGTCTCACCTATCCTCATATCTCCCTTGTGTGCTCTCACTTTTATCTTGTGATCAAAGTTCAATCCCCTTGTTGTGTTTGCCCTTGATCTAATGTCCGCATATGAGGGAGAACATATGATTTTTGGTTAGCTCAGGCTAACCTCACTCAGAATGATGTTCTCCAATTCCATCCATTTACCAGCGAATGATAACATTTTGTTCTTAACTGACTTCAAACTATCTTGCAAAGCAATAACAATAAAAACAGCATGGTACTGGCACAAAAACAGACATGAAGACCAGTGGAACAGAATAGAAGACCCAGATATGAAGCCACACAACTATAACCAACTTGTCTTTGACAAAGGCACTAAAAATATACGATGGAGAAAAGACAGCCTCTTCAACAAAAACTGCTGGGAAAACTGGTTAGCAGTCTGCAAAAAACTGAAATTAGATCCATGTATATCACCCTATACCAAGATTAACTCAAAATGGATCAAAGATCTTAATATCAGACCACAAACTCTAAAGTTGATACAGGAAAGAGTAGGAAATACTCTGGAGTTAGTAGGTATAGGTAAGAACTTTCTCAATGGAACCCCAGCAGCACAGCAACTAAGAGAGCATAGATAAATGGGACTTCATAAAACTAAAAAGCTTCTGCTCACCAAAAGAAATGGTCTCTAAACTGAAGAGAACACCCACAGAGTGGGAGAAAATATTTGCCAGCTATACATCAGACAAAGGACTGACCAGAATATATAGGGAACTTAAAAAACTAAATTCTCCCAAAACTAATGAACCAATAAAGAAATGGGCAAGTGAACTAAACAGAACTTTCTCAAAAGAAGAAATTCAAATGGCCAAAAAACACATGAAAAAATGCTCACCATCTCTAGCAATAAAGGAAATGCAAATTAAAACCACACTAAGATTCCACCTCACCCCTGTTAGAATAGCCTAATCCCATTTTAGTGAAGAACTTTCTGGACATTTCTCTATGTACTTCCCGCTCCCTCCCCACCTGCACCACTGCACTCTGGTCCAAGTCAGATCATCTCTTCCCTGGACTATTGAACCATCCCAGTCACCATCTCCTTGCCCCCATCTTCGCTCTACCAGGTATTTCTCCATCAACAGCCAGTGAACAGGTTTTTTTTTTTTTTTTTAATTGAAGTAAAATTCATGTAACATAAAATCAACAATTTTGAAGTGAACAATTCAGGGGCGTTTAACACATCCACAGTATTGTATGGCTACCACTTCTATCTAAATCCAAAACACTTTCATCACTCCAAAATAAAACCAGGACCTCCACTCCTGGGTTTCTTCCTCCTGCCCTCTCCTCCATTCCCTGGCAACCACATCTGTTTTTGTGCATTTACTTATTCTATCCTATAAGTGAAATCATATAATATGTTACTTTGTGAGTCTGGCATCTTTCACTTAATGTTTTCCACACTCAGTCATACTGTGTCAGTACTTTGTTTCTCTTTATGACTGAATAACATTCCACAATTTGTTTATTCATTCATCCACTGATAGACAGTTTGGTTATTTCCACCTTATGGCTTTGGTGATTGCACAGTCCTGCACAAATATTTGTTTGAATATCTGCTTTCAATTTGCAGTATATACCTAAGATTGGAATTGATGAATCGTGTGCTAACCCTATGTTTAATTTTGGGGAGCTTCCAACTTCTTTTCCATGGTGATTGTACCATTTTTCATTCCAGTAGCAATATAGGAGACTCTGGTTTTCCACGTCTTTACCAACACTTAATTTCCACTTAAAAAAATTTATTAGTATATTTTAGCTGTACAAAGGAGTCTCAATTGTGACATGCAGTCCATGCCTGCATATAATGTAATGCATATAATGAATTTAATCAAATTCACCCCCTCTAATACTCTTTCTTATCCCTCCTCCCACCACTTTTAAAGCGATCTTAAGGGTTTCAGTATTCTATTGTCATACATGTGTGTTTAGTACTTTGGTCATATTCACCCTCTCCTTTCACCCTTCCTTTTTTTTTTTCAGGCATTCTCATAGTATAAAGTGATATCTCACTGTGGTTCGATTTGCACCTCCCTAATGACTGGAGACGTTGGGCATTTTTTCATGTGTTTGTTGGCTGTATGTATATGCTTTTTGGAGAAATGTCTACTCAAGTCCTTTACTGATTTCTTTTTTGGTGGTACTGGGGTTTTGAACTCAGGACTTTGCATTTGCTAGACAGGTGTCTACCTCTTGAGCCACACCCCAGCCGTCTTTACCCATTTAGGTCATTTGTCCTTTGATTGTTTCATTGTTTTTTTGTTTTGTTTAGAACTCAGGACCTCACACTCACTGAGCAGACATTCTTACTGCTTGAATCACCCCACCAGCCCTTTTTCATGGTGGGTTTTTTCAAGATAGTCTTGAGAACTATTTGCTCAGGCTGGCTTTGAACCATGATCCTCCTGATCTCTGCCTCCTAAGTAGCTAGGATTACTGCCATGAGCCATCAGCACCCAGCTGTCTTTTCATTGTTGAGTTATACAAGTTATTTTTATATTCCAAAAACTAGACCCTTATCAGATATATGGTTTGTGAATATTTTATCCCACTCTGTATGTTGTCTTTGTATTTTCTTGATAATGTCTTTGAAGCATAGAACTTTTACATTTTGATAAAATTCAGTTGATCTATTTTTTTTCTTTTGTTGCTGTGCTTTTGTGGACTCATCAAGACTCCATTGCCAATTCTAAGATCATGAAGACTTATGCCTTTCTTTTTTTCTAAGAATGTTACAATTTAGCTCTTACATTTAGATTATTGATCCCTCTTAAGTTCCTTTTTGTGTATGGTGTGAGGTAGAGGTCCAAGTCAGGTCTTTTGCATGTGAACTTCTGCTTGTGCCAGCACTACTTGTTGAAGAGACAATTCTTCCTCCATTGAATTCACTTGGCTCAGTCGTTGAAAATCAATTTTCCATAAATGTTTGGCTTTGCTTCTGTACTCTCAATTCTCTTCCATTGTCTGTGTCTACTACCCTTATACGAGTACCACGTCATTTAGTTTCATTGTTGTTTTCAGATCAGTAAGTATGAATCTTCTAAGTTTGTTCTTTTCCAAGATTGTTTTGCTTTTTGGGTCCCTTATGAGATTTAGGATTGGCTTTTCCCTTTCTGAAAAAAAAAAAAAGAAATGGGAAAACTGCTGTTGGAATTTTGATAATGATTATATCAAATCTGTAGATTGTTTGGGGTGGTATTGCCATCTCGATAACGTTGTCTTCCAGTCCATGAATTCAGGATAATTTTTCATTTATTTGGATCTTCTTTCATTTCTTCTAGCAATGTTTTATAGTTTTCAGTGTATAAGTCTTTTAAATTTATTTCCAAGTATTTTATTCTTTGGATGCTATTTTAAATGTATTTTTTTTATTTCCCTTTCAGATTTTTCATTGCTGGTGAACAGAAAGACCACTTATTTTTGTATGTTGATTTTTATTCTGAAACATTGCTGAATTTATTAGTTCTAACAGGTTTTTTAACATGGAAATTTTGAGTTTTCTCTTTATAAGATTATGTAATCTGCAAACATAAACAATTTTACTTCTTTTTCAGTTTGAATTCCATCTTTTTCTTGTCTATTTATGTAGACTACTTTATAGTCTAGTCTGGCTATGACTTCTGGTACAATGTGGAATAGCAGCAATAAAAGCAGGTGTCCTTGTCTTTTCCTGATCTCAGAGGCTCATTTCCTGAGTTCTCTCAGGTCCCACATCATAGATCATCATCTCAGTGAAACTTGTCCCAATCGCCCTTCCCAAAGGAGCACTGCCCACCTCATCCACCATATACCCTGGCATATCCTAGTCTCCTCCCTCGTAATGCTCAAGCCCATCTAATGTCTCCATGTTTCTTATCTGTCTCCTTTCAAGATCTGTAAGCTCTTGACGATCTTATTGATTGCTGTCCCTCTGCAAAGGTGCCTGGCACATAAGAAGCCCTCAGCAAATTCCTGATGCATGAATACACACACACACACACACACACGCACGCACACACCACATATACATGCACATGCATAATCTCAGTCCATTTTTCTCTTGCTGTAACTGAATACTTCAAACTAGATAATTTACAGAAAAAGGAAATTGATTTCTCACAGTTCTAGAAGCCAGGAAGTCTAAGAGCTGGTAAGAGGCTCCTTGCTACATTATGACGTGGTAGACTGGAGGGCCTCCCTTGGTGACACAGAGCAAGCCGGCTAGCTCAGGTCTCTTTCTCCGTCACTAATGCCATCATGGGACCCCACCCTCAGGACTTCATCTAATCTGAATGACCTCTCAAAGGCCCCACCCCCAATACCATTCATACTTGAATTTGGGACTCATTTTTCACCTGACAGACAAATGCAAACTATAACATATGTGGAATTTCTCATAAGTAGAAATTAAATTGCCATTCTGTTTTATAAACTCACTTTTGCACACCGTTTGTCTCTGGCATTTTCCTTCTTAATAAGTAGCACTCTCCATCAACCTTTTTAATAACTGCTGGAATTCCATGGTACAGATACCCCATAATTTCTTCACCAGCCTCTTGTGGTGGACCTCATGCTTGTTCTTTACTCCTTCATTTGGTTATGAGCCTGACACTTTAAAAACAGAAGGCTAGGATACATTTTCTTGCTCCCTTTTTGTCTTTTAATAATCAGGGTGTATTTTATTTTTAAATTTTCTTTGGAAGTTTACAAGTTTTCCGCTCATCTCACTACCCTTGGTTAGGATATCTCAAACCCTGCAATTTTATTATATTTCCTCTTGTATTTTTTCCTACTTAGAGGTTGTTTAGAGCCATGACCAATCCTTTTAATAGAGTACAGTGGACTTTGACCAAGTTGCAGAATCATTCTTTTCAAATGTGAGGGGAATTGTGTTTGGGATTCCTAATTCCGATTCTCTGGGGAATGTGGTCCCCAGAGGAAGAAGCCTACAGGACCTCCCCCCCTTGGAGGATCCACAGGGCTCTACCATGATCCACCAGAGCCATTGCCAGAGGCTGCCCCACTGGAGTTGTGCACCCTGACAAACACCCCCTGTGTTTTCAGGAAAGATCTGGGTCCCCAAGCAGAAGCCAATAGATCCTGTGCTAGAAACTGTGACACTGGAGCCAGAGCTGGAGGAGGCCTTAGCAAATGCCTCAGATGCAGAACTCTGTGACATTGCAGGTAAGAGGGATTCCAGAAGCTTCCACCTGTCTTCTGAAGGGTTTACCCACATCTGAAGGGGCTTTGTTTGGTTCATTTCAACATGAATACCTCTGTCTAACAAGGACACTGGAAATGTTAAGATAAAAATCCATTATCAAAATCCAAAATGAGGAAAATAAAACCATCCAAACTCATTATACTACAGAACCACCTGTTGTTGCCATGAGCCTGTGCCCAGAGAGGATGGGAATGTAACCCAGGAAGGGCCAGCGTGGGCCCTTTTCCCACCATTTGCATCAAATCCTGCCCAAGCCACCTGATTTGGGAGGTTCACCAAGGACTTAGAACAATGACACTTGATTTTATAACTTCAAGTGGGGCTTCGAGGATGCCACTCTCATGTATTGTATTTGTCCCACACGTTCCACCATCGTGTGTCTTTCCCTATGATCTTCACAAACTACTATCAAAACTCCTGAGAGTGGCTGATATTCGAAGCCTTGGTGACTGCCTTTCTCTCCCTCCCAGTGCCTCAGGAGCCCTGCCTCCCATCCCAACTGAGGATTGGCACCAGCACCCTGTGTGCTACCCATAGTACTGTGCCCCCAGGCTCCGTGAGTGGGTGGGAGTCTTTATGCAGATGGGAGCTACTAACCATCACCCTATTGGAGTGGGGAGATGCTGAAGGTCAGTGGCAGGAGAGAAGAAATGAAGGGACCACTGAGACCTTACTCAGGCCTCACTGAGTGAGGTCCAGTTTGGAGTTGGGAGGGATGGCCCCAGAGACTAGGTGAATGTTGGTCCCTTTAATGAAGGAGGAGCAGTGGAAGGTGAAATACTGAATTCGATTTCAGGCCTATGGTTTTGAGGTGCCTGTGGGCCACCCGAGTGGAGACAGTTGTGCACGAAGTTCTGGTATTCTGCAATGGGTCTCTGCTCTGCATGGAGGTCTGAGCGTGGTTAGCATTGCTAAACTCCAGGTAAAGCATGTGATAGGTGGGACCTGGGCTCTGGAGGGCCAGGGTCAGGCCAGGATGGATCCTTTGCGGGGGGAACTGTGGAAATGGAACAAACCTAGCACAGGGTAGTCAGCCACAGATAGGCTGCAAAGCAAAAACAGAGTCAGGAAGGGCAAACCTGAAGCAAAAGCCAAGGACACAGAATGGTGGCTGCTGTAGCCAGAAGACTCAGAGGTACTGAGACCAGGGGCGAGAGGAGCAGCAGCTGCTCTGTCCCATCATGCCCTCCTGGCTTTTCACAGTGCTGTGCATGACTACTGTTCAGGAAGAGAACGGGTTGGGGATGGCTCCTCTGCAGTGGGACCTGGGGGAGGGGCAGTGACTTCAACTCTGTGCCTGAGTGCAGACAGCCTTTTCCTGAAGAGGCAGAAATTGCAGGGAAGGACAAGAGCAGTCTCAGAAGGATGGAGGGCAGGGAGAACACGGCTTTCATTCTCACTGTGCAGCACAGTGGGATGAGTATTAACCCAAAAGGGAACCGAACACAGAGAGCCTGGTTTGCTTGAAAGCGAAGGATGGGTTTTGTCAGGAGCCATCTGAACCATCTCAGATCCTACAGCATGCACCACCTCCCCAGTGAGGGTCCCCCTGACTTCCAGTTCATTTGTGCAGCCTGGAAGCCTAATGCCTTGTCCTCTCTCCACATTGGCACCCCGAAAGGGAGTTGTTTTTATCCTGGCCTTGCTCTTCTGATCCCTGCCTGACATCACTCCCCTCATTAGGCCGCTAGCGCAGGGGAATTATCAAATGACTGCTGTCAGAGCTGCTGGCTCCTACCTCATCCTGAGCAGAAACAGAACTGCCACACTGCGCTGTTTCTGTGCTGCGTTCTCAAAACTATTTTCTCTTTGCTTTTGTTGGCGGGATATGTGTTATGATCTGTCCATGATTCCATGCCCTTCTGATGTCCCAGAAGGAGCAGGAGACTGTGAGCCTCCCCCGGTGTTAACTGGTTGTCCCTGTATCCTCTGACATCAACCATGTAAAAGGTGGCAGTGCCTCTGGGGAAGGCTGAGCACCCAGGTGCTGTATGAGTTGTTCTCAGTACCAAGTTGCATTTATTGACCACAACAGTCCTAAAAAGTAAATTCTATTACCATCTTCATTTCATACTAAGAGTTGAGCTGTGCCTAGTACTGGGTCAGCCGTCAAGGAACCCAGATGATGCCAAGCTTTGTGACTTTAGTTGTCAGAAACCAGAGCAGAGTGACTGAAGGAGAGCCACCCTGCCTGGGTTTATTTCAAAGACACCTTGTGAACTTTGGGCAAACCTGTGGCCAGAGATGCTGGGCATGGTAGGCCCACCAAAGAATGGCAATGCAGGTTTAGAGCCTTTCTCAAGGAGGTGATTGGAGCCAGGATTTGTGGGTGGCTCCTCAGAGGATAAAAAAGCAGGGAGAGGAGGACAGGAATCTGCAGGTCACCTCTCATTTGCATGCTCCACTCCCAGGCAGAACGTTCCCACCAAACTAACTTTCACTTGGTCTCTCAGGCACACAATCATCCCAGTCCCCCAGGGCCTTTGGACCTACTGTGTACTAGTTTCTGGACAAGACCCTGTTAAAAGAATTCTAAGAAAACAGCCAGTTCCTGTCCTTATAGAGCCAATGTTAGACAAGGATGATGCAAATGAGAACTGACAAATGAGAGCATCATATCAGAAAAAGAACGGGGTGGTAAGGACCACTTGTTTTAGGTGGTGGGGCTGGAAGACATGAGGGAAGAGATATGGAAGCTGAACCCAAGGGGGAATGAGCAGGGGTAAGCTAGAGACAGCTGGGGCGGGGCGGGGAGAACATTCAGGCACAGTGGCCCTAGTCCACGCTAAGGAAGAGACACCCTCCCTCCCCACTCAGTCATGTGCTTTGCAGTGTGTGTGTGTGTGGCAGGCTTGAGGTCTAGTGATGGAAGGAACCAGCAGAAAGGAGTGCCACACTGACTCAGGTGTGACCCAGGGAAGGTACATCATTTATTCATTCATTCAACCATTCACTTGCTGAGTCAATGTACATATGGAACTCCTATGTATACTATGATGAATTACACCCAGTCTCTACCCTTGAGGGGCCCAGGAGATGATAAAGAGGACAGACCAGAAGCATGTAGGTTTCAATATTAAAAGTGTTCCCACAGGGTGCTGAGCAGAGCTCACAGGACCATAGGGTTTGAACTAAGGACCTTGCTCCTGCTAGGCAGGTGTTCTACCACTTGAGCTATGCCCACAGCTCTTTTTTGCTTTGGTTATTTCTAAGACAGGGTCTCACATTTATGCCCAGGCCTGCCTGGATCATGGTTCTCCCATTTACACTTCCCACTAGCTAGGATGACAGGCGCATGCCACCAAATCCACTTTTATCAGTTGAGGTGGAGTCTTGAGAACCTTTTGACTGGGCTGGCTTCGAACTGCAGTCCTCCCAATCTCTGCCTCCCAAGTAGCTAGGATTATAGGCATGAGCCACTGCACTCAGTCCAGTATGAAGCCCCTGGACACAGCCTTGAATTGTAGCTCAGAAACCACTGAGCGTCATCTACAAGCACTTGGAATTAGCGGTGCCTCCCATGCCCACTCAGGGATGCAGTCCTGGCTGGCCCTTAAGGAGTCCTCTGGTGGAACAGTAGAAGAAGAGACTGGGAGGAAGGAGTCCCCTTCCAAATAGGGCACCCCTAGGGCAGATGGCTGGCCCTAGCCCCTGTGGCTGACAGAGGCAGGCCTAAGCAGGCCATCCCCTGGCTCTGGGTACTTTCCTGTCCTTAGGCACCTGTCCATTCTGTCAGATGTGGCTTATCCAGAAACAGTTCCATGACACCCAAGTCCTGGGCCAGAGCCAGTTTCCCACCTGGCTGTGGGACTCAGGAGCACACCTTGCAGCCATCTGCCCAGGGCCAGCCCAAGCCTTCAGCAGCTGGAGAAGCTGGGGATGTGTGCAGTTATCATTCTGCATCCAGAGTGGAATTACAAACGGAGCGAGCCCTGCCAAGACAGAGAGGAAGCAGAACTCAATGTTCTTTTTCAGAGTTCAAAAATAGTCCTTTTTGAGTTTTGAGGAGGATCTAGACTTTTTTTTAAGAAAAGAAATCAATCAGTGCTAAATTCAGCCTTGCCAGTATCTACAAAGAAGGAAGCAGCAAGCAACATCCATACCCATTTTCTTCCATTGCTCAGTCCTGATGACAAGGAGCGCACGAATCCAAATGAGGCAGAAAGCTGTGATTTCCTGCCTAGGGCTCTGAAAGGTAAGGCTAGTTTCAGAACTATGTGCCTGAAGGCAGTTTAACTAGACCCTTTCCTTCCTTCCTTCCTTCCTTCCTTCCTTCCTTCCTTCCTTCCTTCCTTCCTTCCTTCCTTCCTTCCTTCCTTCCTTCCTTCTTTCCAAATGGTTCTATTCCTTCCTAGGCCTGCTATTGACATATACGATCTCCCAGAATATATGTCATTGGTCCTTAGAATTCCCAAGTTGACAGGAAGTTTTGGATCTCTAGAACTCCTAGTGAGTGACCCAGTGGACAGAATACTAACTTAGAAACCAGTGGAGTCCTTGCTGAGCAGTTTTGGCAAACCATTTCCCTAGAAAATTGGGGGTTGACAGTGCCTGCCCTGGATGCTTATTGTAAAACATTGACAGGATAAAAACATGAGAAATTGCTGTGTGACTGTAGAGTCCCATGGGAAGGGGAGAGTTCAGCATTTAAACACACTCTATTTTGCAACAGAGAAAGCCGAAGCCCCCAAATGGGAAGTGGCCTGTACATGGTCACCCAGAAAAATATTGCCAAGGCCCAGACTGAAACCCCAGGCTCCTTGCTTCTGGTCCCTCTTGTAACTGTGATACCTCTGCACTCCTCTCTAGATATCACAGGACACCACACATCAAGTGTGTTTTCCGTTTTCTACCTCCCTATATTCTCTAAGCAAGACCAGGAAGCAAATACGAGGTTACATCTTTCATACGATCCCAGCAACTTTTCCAAACCTGAGATCCCAGTGGCAGCCCAGAACCACCATGAGCTGGGGCACACGTGTGGGAACTGGGAGCACCAGCTCCAGAAGGTGACTTGCAGTGATCTGACTCACCTGCCACTGCTGCAGGTCTCTGTGTCTGCTGCCCACGTAGACACAGCTAAATTAAAACCCTGAGAGCTCAAAAAGCTGCAGATGCTTCTCTCCCTACCAGCTCTCCTGAGTGATGACCAGGCAAGTGTAATTTTAGCAGAGAAAACTTAGGCTGTGAGGAGCAGACGGCGCTGAGAGATATCTCATCTTGTGCTTCTCGACTTCCACCAAGCATCAAAATCACCCAGGGAGCCAGGCGTGAAAGTGCCTGCCTATATCCAGCATTTGGAGACTGAGACAGGAGATCTGTGAGTTCAAGGCCATCCTGGTCTGTAGAGTAAAACCCTGTTTTAAACCCTACCACCACTAGGAAACTTCACCCAAGGAAATTTTTTTAAAAATCTCTCAGGCTTGGCCATGATCAAGAACCACTGGTCTTATGTTTTCCTGGTTGGAGCAAGGAGGCTGGCACCCTGGAGAAGGGAACTTGCCCAAGGTCACAGTCAGGACTAGAACTTGTATCTTCTAATTCTTCATTAAGAAATACTCATTTTGTGTCTCTAACTACAAACCATAAAATTATGCAGTGGTTAAGGGGATTTAAAAAAAATCATCACTAAATATTTAGCAAATACACGGTGTATTCTGGGAGAGGTTCAAAAGAGAGAAATAATATTTTTCACTGACCTCTGGAAGCCCACAGTCCTACAAAGAAAGCATACATGTATTTAATTCCGTCTTTGTCCAGCGGTACTCTGTGGTATAATAGGATACCAGGCACTGTGGGAGAACTAGAGAGGGAGAGGAAGGGATCCAGGAAGACTCCCCGGAGGAGTCTTGAGCAAGGGAGAGAGACATAGTGGTTAGATAAAATATAGATGTCTGTTTGAATTGGAATTTTAGATAAACAGTGAATGTTTTAATATAAGTATATTCTGAACTGATCGGGACATACTAAGAGGTTATTCATTGTCTGTATGAAATCCCAATTCCCCTGGGTATGGATAATCACCAGCAGAAGGGACAGCACTGGCACAAGCAGGAGAATTTACTGAGCAGGGACAGTTTGTGTCCCTGGAACAGAAGGAGTGTGGGTGAAAAGACAAGGCTATTGAGGCAGGACCAGCCCAGAGAGGGCCAAGGAGCCAGGCTCTGGGGTTTACACTTGGCTCTCTCAAGCCACCATGCTTCCATCTGGACAGCTGCACAGCCTCCCAGTTCCCGAATGCATAGCCACCTCTCCCTCCATGGTGAGTTCTCCACACATAACCAGCACTCAGGCCAGACCACGTAACTCCCTGAGCAAGCTTTCAGTGACTTCCCAGGCCATTATCAAGAAAAGACATGCAAACTCCTCATCTTAACCCAGCAGCCATAGGGCCCGACCTTGCCCGTGTGATGCAGTCTGCTCTGGAGGGTGATTGTGCACATTAAGGAAAGTTCTGTCAGGTGATGGTTCTCAACCTTGGCTGCCATTGAAATGGTTGAGGAGCTTTTAAAAACGCAGATGCCTGGGCCTCACCCCCAGAGGCTTTAATTGGTCTGTTGCAGGCCTCGGCATCAAGAGTTTCAAAAGATTTCCAAGTGACTACAATGGGCAACTAAATGGAAAATCACTGATCCAAAGCATCTTCCCTGGCCCTAGCATGAGCTCAGGGAGTGGGGGTGTTATTGCTACCCTGCTATTATTACCGCCACGAATCTAACTTCATCTCACCTCTCTTCCCCGCCTCCCCCAACTTCCAACCTCATTGGCTTGCACTATCCACTCTGCCTGGAACATTCTATCTCTGTTCTTTTGACTTGACCAACACTTAGTCATCCCTCCCTTCCCAAGTCCCTCCTTTATATTCTTCCAGAACACACTGAACTTTTCTTTCCAACACTTGTCATACCCTGTGTTCCTAACGACATGGGCACTTGCTTTAGTGCCCCTTTTCCCAACCCCTAGACTGTCAGCTATGTGGGCAGAGACCCTGCCATTCTTGTTCTCCTGTGTTCCCATAGAGCTGGTACTCAGTAAATGATGACACTCAGTAAATGCTGAACAGATGAATGGATGAAAGAATGGCATGGAAACGATGAGGTTGTATTGGCATTTCCAGAAAGATCTTTCTGTGTTGTGCTGAATGTTGGGATGTAGATATTAGGAAAAGACCAAGGTCGGCATGCTGCACACTACATAGTTGTGATAATACGGATATTCCTGCACTTGTAATGGAGTGATGTTCTAATAACACCATCGTAAGTTGAAAATATCAGAAGCTGGAAATGCATTTAATACCCTGGCCTTCCCCACACCACAGTTTAGCAACACAGATTATTTCCCCTCACGATTGTGGGGCTGTCTGGCAGCTGGGGCTCACTGCCCCCCACCCCAGCATCTCAAGAGAGCATCCTATCACTAGCCTGGAAAAAGATCAAAATTCAAAAATTGAAATACTGTGGGGCACAGTGGCTCACACCTGTAATCCTGACTGCTTGGGAGGCAGAGATGGGGAAGATCACAGTTTGAGGCCAGCTCAGGCAAAAGGTTCAAGAGACCCCATCTCAAATAATAAAGCTGGATATGGCACACCTGTCATCTCAGCTAGGTGAGAAGCATAAATAGGAGGATCACAGTCCAGGCTAACCCCAGGCATAAACATGAGACCCTTATTTGAGAAACATCTAAAACAAAAAGGGCTGGGGACCTGGTAAATGTGAGGTTCTGAATTCAAACTCTAGTACCCCCCAAAAAAAACCCAACAGAAAAAAATCAGAGTACTGGTCCTACTGAATGCATGTCATTTTTATGCCAACATAAAGTCAGAAAGCCTTGTTACAAGTCTAGGATTATCAGTATAGCCAAGAAATGATAGGACCTCAATGAAGGGATGAGGAGACACCTTGAGAGTTTGGGGGAGGGGAGGGAATGGGCTTGGGAAAGGGTCATGTGACAGAGGTGTTACCCTGAGGGAAAGCAGGATGGAGGATGGTAGGAAGTAGAAAGAGGCCCTGGCTAGAAAGATTCCTTCTGCTGGGCCAAGTTGGGTGGGATGTGCCAGTAGGACCTAAGAGAGACCTGAGAATCTGAGGCCCGTGTGAGGTCTGAGAGTTTGTAAACAGAGGTAAGAGTAAAAATAATATCAGCTACATTTTCATGCAAGTGCTTTTTGTCATTTCTGTGAGCAAAATGGCTGGGGTATGGACGGCGGGTCCCCAGGCAGCATCTCTACCTCTGAGACAGTCACGGCCCTTCATTTGTCCTGCAGCTATCTTGGGCATGCACACACTCATGAGCAATCAGCAGTACTACCAGGCCTTGGGCAGCAGCTCCATCGTGAACAAGGAGGGACTCAACAGTGAGTACATGCCACAGACCACCTGGCATCCCCCTTAACCCGCCCCGAGGCTGCCTCCTCCTGTGTCTTGCTCCCTCTGCTCCCATGCTCTGGCTTGCTGCAGAAGTTCTAAAATTTCATGTAGCCCAGAGTGTTCCATCTTTTAATGTCTTGTTCACAAAGGTCTCCTTCATCCCAATATGGTATTTTCTTCTAAAGATTTTAGAGATTTATTTCTTAGTTTAACTTCTTAATTCACCTAGAGTTCATGCTTGTGTGTGCTATGGGATGAGATTAAATTTCATTTCTTTAATGGATATCCAGTTGTCTCCATGCCCATCCTTTCACCATTGGTGTGGGTCTCCATCTTTATCATCAGTTTCTGCCCTCTATTCCATGAGTCCCTTTTTCCTTTCCTGAGCCACTTATTGCATTATCTTAATTACTCTACTACACTGTTCCAAGCTGTTGTTTTGGCCTCAAAGAGAAATGAGAGTGCCGAAAGAGTAATTATCCTCCCCTTTGGAAGATGACTACATTTCTTGCCCACCCAGGCCACCTCTTATCCTCACAAGAATCCATTGAGCTAATAAGCACAGGAAAAATGACTATCCCTACTCTACAAGTGAGCGCTCGAGGTTCCGAAACTTTTAAGTAATTCATCCAGTTCTTGCAGGGAGGCAAAGGCAGCATCCAAGAGCCCCCAGCTCCTGGCTCAGTTTCTAAGCTTCTTCGGGTTCCTGGCCATCCCTGCTAGCCCCTGTAATGCACAGCCTTCCCAGGCCCTGAACCCTGCCAATACTTCCTTTCAGGGTATCTTTGTGTTGGGAATTAAGTGATTCCCATATTTCTGTGAGTCACTCCCTTTTGTCGATCGCCCTAGGTGTGATTAAACCTACACAATACAAGCCTGTGCCTGATGAAGAACCAAACTCAACAGATGTAGAGGAAACGCTAGAGCGGATAAAGAACAATGACCCAGCACTTGAAGAAGTTAACCTCAATAATATCCGGGTAAAGTCCATTTATTTTACTTCACCTGTATGTGGGTGGGTGGGAGGGACATGTCCATGTCACTCAGATGCCAACAATCTGGGCTGTGCAGAGTGACAGAGTCCTGTTTGGACTCTGAGTGTTTTTGAATCAGGAATAGAGGCAAATCTTTACAGATGGGAACACTTAAGGGGGGTGGACAGGGTAAACAAGCTCATCCCACAGTCCTGCTTTCTTTTGGAGGGCAATGTCAGGGCCAGATGTTCACCACAGGCCAGTCCTGCTTCAGTCTGGAAACCTGCCATGTTATTCAAAACACAGAGATTCTCTGAGATAAAATCATGACTCAGACACACACTGCAGCATGGGATCTCATGGCTGGAAAAGTCCAGTGCCCACCAAGCTTGTGGGGTCACTAAACCCCAGTCAGGCCCCATCCCTGAGCCATCACTGCTCCTACTGGATCATCCTGTTCAAAGTCAACCTCATTTTATGGCCATGCAAGGGAGCTACTGGCCCAAGAACCCAAAGAAAGAATACTGGAGCTGTCTGCCCATATCTGTGTGGGCATTTCCCTATATATCCACCAGGGCAGAGGAGGGACAGGCGGACAGGCAGTCCCACCCTGGACAGGCTGTAGGAGGAATTCAGAAGCAGGCACAGCTGCCTACCCACTTGCTCAGCCCCAAGGCCATGGGATTAGTTCTGTGGGCGGGAGGGGGTGGTAAGACAAGTAGCTAGCCCCTCATTCCTGCTCCCCTTTCCTTTCTTCTCCACTTTCTTTTTAGCAGCTGCCAGCCCAGAACACAATCAGATTGGAAACCTGTACCCCAGTGTTCTCCTCCACCTGGCTCCCCCCACTCAGCTCCCACGGGAGCTTAAGTGACACCCTGAAATGAGAGCTGGGCAGAAACACAGCCAGGCTCTCACTCAGTGCCTCAGTTATCTGCCCTGTGCCCAAGGGAGATGCTGGCACAATTCAGAATTGTGTACTGTGGCCATGAATGCCACCTCAGAAAGGCGTAAATGACAGGACCTTACCATGAGGCCTCAGCTGAGGACTTGAATTCCTCGCAGCCTGTTTGCAAACTCCATGAGGCAACTGAACCAGATCGATGGTTTTTACCCAAGATTCTGATTGTGATGGTCTGGGGCAAGCCTGAGCATCAGCACTGGCAAATTGTCCAAGAGCCACTGCTGGTATAGCCAGTGCTGACACCCTCTGGGGAGATGTCTCTTAGAGAGGGTCAAGTGCAAACCCTCAATAATGTTTTCTAGAAACAGACCCAGAGAGGGAGAGAGTCACACAGTGAGTGAGCCAGACACACTGCCAGTCACACGAGCCCTTTGTGCAATGCTCTTCCTCATTGCACACCTTGATTTTTACCGGCCTCCACATGCACAGATTTGTGTACCAGAAAGTCCTCCCCAAGGAACATGAACAAAGCACATTCAGCCTTTTGTCTAGAGATTTGCTGGGACTTGGCAAAGAGCCAGTCTGTATAATATGAGAGAGATACTGTCCCATGCTTGCACCACCTGTCCTGGGCTGCTGGTCACTGTGTCTCCTTTCTCTCTGCAGAATATTCCCATACCCACCCTCAAGGCATATGCAGAAGCCCTGAAAGAAAACTCCTATGTGAAAAAGTTCAGCATCGTTGGGACCCGAAGCAATGACCCTGTGGCATTTGTACGTACTCCTCTGCTCTGACGTGTTGACGGTGGGGGAACGGGAGCTAGAAACAGAAGAGCTCTGCTTGTAGCCTCAGGACTGGATGTATTCCACTACTGAAGTCCCATGTGCTGTGGTGAAGGGACAGGGCTAGGAGCCAGGAGGGGATGTGAACAGTACCATCATCATCCCAGCTAGTCCTCAGAGCATCCTGCTCATATGCACTTCGTACATGGAGAACTAGCGTTTGGAGGGGCCACACAGCAGGCAAGTGCAGACCTGGGATCAAATGATGCCATCATATAACCCATATAACACTCAGCACATAACATTTGAACAAGGCTCTCCTCCCTAAGCCTCAGTTTCTCCATCTCCAAAATCACTATGTCCCAATGACCAATTTTATTTACTGTTATCCATGTCTTAAAAGGTATCACTAATCAAATTAAATTATGCTTATTGTAAAGGAACCATTAATGTAAAAAATAATTTGGCATACATTTATCGAGTCTTTGTGTGCCTAGCATTGAACTGGTTTCTGAGAATCCTATCTGTGGCAAACAGTCTCAGTTTCCAGGCTTAGGAACACACTCATTCATTTGGCCGTGGAAAAACTGATGGATAATAGCACTATTCCACTAGTAGTAGGGAAAAGGACAGGAATCAGCTTCCCTGGAATGGTACTAACTATTAAGTAGCAACCACTTATTTTCTGATTTTTAAAATAGGACTATTTTCTTCAGTATTTTTGAGATGTTAGAAGTAGCTTGGTCTCCCATGGCTGCCAGTGGGGAAACTCTGGATTGAGGACCTCAGTGGATCCTGAGTTCATCTATGGCAATACAGCTGGCAGAGCCACATTCCCCTACACTACTAGGTCATGGATGAGAAACCAGGCACATCCATACTGGCACTCAGCTCAATGCCACAAGTGTTTTTGGGCCACGTACTCTGTGCCAGACTGACAGCTGGTGTCAGCATGTTCATACCTGTGTAATCCATTGTCCCGTGCAAATGCTTCTGAGCCAGTCCCTACACTAGGCTGCCAGAGCCCTGGAAGTACCCCCCAGTGCCTGCCCTGGCTCATCTCTTGCCACAGTGATCCAGCACACAAGGAGTTAACACGTGGCATGACAGGACCTCCAGGACCTGCTTATTCTCCAACAGGTGCAGCCCAGTAGCCTGGGACAACTGCCCTCTGCTTACTAAATACATTGGTGGCCAGGCCAGGCCTCTCCTGGCAGGCAGGCAGGGCTATGGAGGCACAGAGAGGACACAGGCAGGGCCCCTCAGAGGAACCATCCTGCTCAGAAGACAGGTCTCAGGGAAAGCTGACACACTGTCTCAGGACACACTGGAGTGGGGTTGACTGGGGGGAATGAGGATCAACACGCAAGGCTTCCTGGGAGCTGAGCCTCTCCCAGGGTTTTAATGAGCAGGGACAACACCGTAGAACAGCCATTCCTGGCATCACTTCAGACAGCCAGGCCCACTGATCGTGGCGTCCCTGGCCTCTCAGCTGCTGGTGTCTCCTTTCTCCATGACACATCGTTTCCACCAACTGCTAATTACCTCATTTCCTTCAGAGGCTCTGTTGTCATCTACACCTCCCTGGCTGCGGCCCTCTGAACGTGCTGAGGGCCACCTGAACTGTTCTCCTCTAGTTGGCCCTGGTCACTTGCCTAGCGAGGTGGTTTTCCCACTCTGCTTTCTGGTGCTAGAGAAGAAAATGGCGACAATAGAAGAGATATACTGAGCACACATGGGCTGGTGGGGACACTGGGTGGGCAATGGGGTTGTGAAGGTGCATTTTCAACATACTCAGGGTAATAGCCTTGTGGCAAGGTTAGTAAAAACAACCTTGAAGTGAGGAACTCAAGTTCCATCAGGGAACCCTAGGATAAATTCTGTGACGTTCAGGAGGGCAGACCACAGCTCACTGTGATATCAGCAAAAGCTCCTAGAGAAAGAGACATTGAGAATAGCCTTGAAGGACAGGCAGGGTTTGGCAGAGTGAAGTGGGGCAGGGGTGGAGTGGGCAAAGGTCAAGGGGTGGGGCAGCACTGAGCATGTGCAGGGAACGGTGAGTCACCCCTTGACAGGAGCAGTGAGGACTGACACTGGGCAGGGGAAGAAAAGCAGGTTGTGGAGGCTGTGGGTGCTAGCAAGGGAGTATAGAAATTCTCCAGCAGGGGTCTTCAGGAACCATGGCAGGTTCCTTTCCATGCTTGGAAAGGTTTTGGAGACCCAATTGCCTGTTTCCCCTTATTTGTGAATCCACCCACGAGGGGCTCCTGCCTTGCATCGGGTGACTCACAGATGTCCCTGTTTTTCTTCTGTGGTCAAGGCCCTTGCTGAAATGCTCAAGGTGAACAAGGTATTGAAGACACTGAACGTGGAGTCCAACTTCATTTCCGGAGCTGGGATCCTGCGTCTGGTGGAAGCTCTTCCACACAACACTTCTCTGGTGGAACTGAAAATCGATAACCAGGTAAGATGGGCAAGGTCTCCTCGTGTCCCTTACTAGTATCACTCACAGTCCTACACTTGCCTGAATGCTGCTGGGCGGAGTAGATGGCGCTCACTGTAGAAGCTCCAGAGCCAGGCTGTGAGGGACCTCCAAATTCATCCTGCCCACACCCTCCACCATGCTACCTTCCTTCTTCATTCCTGCCAGGTGCTCTGCCCACTTCTGGTTGTGTTCCCCTAGTGACAGGGAGCTCTCCTTATCATCACCACCCTTTCACCGTTGGGCTTTGAGAATCTCCTTTCTTAGACCTAGGACAAATGAGCTCTCTTTTCAAGTCCTATTGGCTTGACTGCTGTCTGCTGCCCCAGAACATCTAGTTTACAGATCTCCTGAACTACTGGAGCCCTTCTTCACCCATCCAGATAGCGCCACTTTCCTCACTTACCCTACCCTATGGGGTTTTGAGTCTCCTTCCCCTTGAGGTCCCCTCTGGGCAAATTCTAGGTTGCAAACTTAATTTTCATGGAGTTACTTTTTCAGTCACTTATCTTTGGCAGTACTGACTTTCTAAGGGGATGATAATAACAAGAGCTGAGTGCAACAGTAGCTTGTATGTTATATGAGGGTCTGCTGTGGAGCAGGCTCTATACTACACACCTTGAATCCATCATCTCTGGTCTCCATAACAACCCTACAGGATGCTACTGTCTCAGTTTGCAGAAGGGAAAACAGCCCAGAGAGGTTAAAAACAGGCAACCTTCTCAGGGTCACAGAGGCAGCTCTTAGGAATCAGGATTTGAATCCAGGGCTCTCTAACTCCAAAGTCCACACTCCTTCCAGTACCACACATTGCCTCCAATGTGAAAATGCTTTCTTTATGGATAGGGAACTTGGGGTTTGTTCCCTACATAAAATTTTAGCTGAATGGTTGTATAAATGTATGCAAAGGAAAAAAGATTGGAAAGAAATATTACAAAATAATACACAGTGGTTATACCCAAATGGGATTATCAGTACTTTGAAATTTCCTCATCGTAAAATATGGCAAACAGACAGAAAAGTGCATAGAACATAAACATACAGTGTAACAAATCACAGCAGGCAGGTGACTCCTGCTCAGGTTAAAGACTAAACCATCACTAGCCTCTAGAAGACCTTGGCCACCTCTTCCTAGTCATGGTCTTTCTTCCTGACTTGCTCCCACTCTTCCTGGCCCCCAGGTCCTCCCCACCCTGCCCTCTTCCCCCGCTAGAGAAACCCCCTTTTCTGTAGGGAGCAATGGAGCCTCTCCTCCACCTAGGGTGCTCTGGAGCAATTGGGAGTAGTTTAAAGGGCTAAGTGCACATCTCTGCCCAGCTCCATCACATACCAGTGATGGCATGTGGCATACTGGTACCTTGAGTTTGCCCTGATAGACAGGGGTGTTGACATTATGGGGATTGGCAAGCGTTACATATCAGGCTTTTGTACTACTTTGAGAGCCAGTGGACCTACTGTTCTCTCCTGTCAGCTTCATATCTCCTCCAAGCCCTTCTGCCTAGGAAGAGAGAGCTAGATGCTCCCTCCTCTGGTCCCCAGCACTTTGGCTTCCCCGTGAGCCTCTCTGAAGCTGGTGCTGTGTCTGAGTCTTCTCCACATCACAGTGCCTAGCCCAGGATCTAGCCTGCATGAGTGCTTTTTTGCCTGAATGGTTGTGCATAGTGCTTACTGCACAATGAGGTGACAGAGCAAAATGCAGCCCACAATCCACTCTCCCAGCTGTGTGCCTCAGAGAGGGTACTTTCTCTAATGCATAGGAAGAGGCCATATGAGCCAGCAGCATCTCTGTCACGTGAACTCACTACATTGGACTCCTTGCCTCTCTCACAAGCCAGTGGCCTCGCTGCTGCATTGCCCATTCCCAGCCCCTCCCCACCCTGACCCTTTCTGCACCCTCCCTTGGCCATTGCTGACTCCGCTGTCTTGCAGTAGATGGAACAAAGGCATGCAGCATACTTGGCAGCAGCCCCTGGCCAGGCCCTGGGCTTGGCTATGCATGCAACTGCCAGCCTGGCTGTGCAGAAGTCAGTGTCTCCCCCGAGGCAGCTGAAACCTGACTCCCAGGACAGAATGGTGGCCTAGTCCTTGAGAGGGGAGCTGACAGTGAGCCGATCCCCTTGCCTGTCACTGCTGTCTTACCTGAGTCCAACACAGAGCCAGTGCTGGACACCATGGAGCAAGCACATTTACTTCCCTGAGCCTCAGTTTCCCCACATGTAAAATGAGGATAGTAAGAATTGTTACTCGTAAGGATATAACAGGGGGGAACTGTAGTTGGTGACTTGGGATGACTCTGCAGGTGATCTAGGTTCACATATTATCCTAAGGATCCATTATTAAGCCAGTGCTGGGAGCTACTAACAACACTGGGTGCTTTATGTCCGTTTTTTCATGTAATGCTCCCAACAACCCTAGAAGTGGTAAAACTGCCAGATGGTCTATTCCACCTGCCCAAGGTCACACAGTTAATAAGTGACACAGACAGACTCAAACCCAGGTCTATGTGACTCTAAAATCCATGTACAGCACCTGGCTGGGTTCTTGAGACAATTGTGGTTTCATGTGGGCCTATACTGGCTTTTCTCATCTGTCCCTTCCCCACCACTGTGCTGGGCTCTGCGTATGAGTAAGGCTCTGTCTCTACCCTCCTGGACCCCCATGCTGGGTGAGAAGAAAGAGAGGTGAGGAAGTGACCTATGTCAGGTGCTCTGTAAGTCACAGGCAGTGACCAGTGAGGTCCACTGGAAGAAGCAACCCAGTCAGGAGCAGGGAGCAGGCAGCATCTGGGAGGAGGCAGAGTCTGGGTAACCCACAGGGTTGGGAAGTACCTCAGACAGAAAAATGGAAACCAGGAGCCACCTGAAGAGAGAAGGCAGGGGAACTTGTGGAATCCATCCATGCCAGACTTCTGGTGCCCCTGAAGAAGAACCAGATGGGGCTTGGGAGGGCAAAGAGCCTTGTATGGGTAGACTGAAGCTGTGGCCTGCGCACAGAAAACACCTCCTGGCTGGATGCAAATGGATTGGTGAGGAAAGGACATGGGGCCCCCAAGGCCAGTGGGGGCTATGGCCACCTAGATGAGGGGACCTGTGTGTGTGTGTGTGTGTGATGCTCCTGCCTAACTACTCTCCAGTTGAGCCTGCAGGGAATGGGCTGAATCGGTGGAGGCACGTCTCAAGGAGGGGTACCACTAACCAAGGCTCCAGTAGGTCCCAGGCCTCTCACAGTGCATCCTGGGAGGGCTGGGCCCAGCTGCCTCCTCTCTGTGTCCCAGCTCTGGGCAAGGGTTGGGGGAATGTGACCAAGTGCAGGTGGTGAGTAGCACTTGATTCATTCCTCAGTTTTGGTTAGGCAGTGAGGCTTTTGGAGGCTGGAGCTTTTGCCTCAATCCTTGTGCTTATAATCTACGTCAGTGAGACTCTGTTCTCCTTTCTCCTTATACGGCTAGGGAAAGGGACTTGGGGAGCTGTACCCAGGGTGACATGGAGCCTGGCAGGCTGGGATTCTGGGGCTGTTTGTTTACTCAATCCTTCTTCTTATATCCACACAATGTGCTGTTACCTCCTGAAGTTGCTATGACACTGAAGGGACCAAGGGAGCCCTGGGCAGGAGCTGAAGGGTACTGAGAAAATGTCTCACTGGGCCTCCTTTTACAGGTGTAGAAACCGAGGGTCAAGGAAAGGATGGGACTTGCCTGAGGTCACAGGTCAGAACAGTGGCTGGGTTGGAATGTCAGTACACTGCCTGTGTTTGTGGATGGAGAGGAGAGAATCCTGTCGGCCCCAGGGAACAGACACCACAGACAGAGTGCCAGGCACCCTTATCCCAAGACATATTTAAATGGTACTTTGCTGCCCTCTTAGTTTGTCCAGGTCCCATATCCCAACAGAGCTGCCCTCCAGTAAGACCCTTCCCAGAACCCTCAGGGCCCATAGTGTCCCACCCCCTAAGACAAGGCCTGAAAACATGACTACCTCTCTCCAGTGAAGATCTGTGTAGTGTCTGGGGGACCTCAGCCAGATTTCCCACTTTCCCTTCCCGTATTTGATAGTGAGGTTGTGTTTAATATTTTGAAGAGAAGCTGAAGGAAGAGGATTGTATTTTCTTATTTTTCCAGATGGGATGATTTTGGCTGGCTTTTTTTTTTTTTAACTAAACATTGTCTCTGAGTGTATCCATTATCTATAGCTGTGTAACAAATTATCCCAAAATTTAGCAATATAGCCCCAGAGCCCTGGCTTAAAACAACAATAAACATGAAGTAGCTCAATTTCTGAGAGCCAGGAATCCATAGGCAGTTTGGCTGGCTAACTTCTCCCAAAGCAAACCATCCAAAGCAGAGAAAGAAGAAAGCCTTAGATGTCTTTTATGACCCAACCTTGGAAGTTACATGAAGGTGCTTCTGCCACATTGTTTGTTAGAAGTGAGTTGTTAGGGGATTGAGGAGTGGCTCAAGTGGTATAGCACTTGTCTAGCAAGCTCCAGACCTTGAGTTCAAACCCCAGTTTAAAATAAGAGTTGCTAGATTCAACCCACTCTCCAAGGGACAGGAATTAGCCTCCACATTTGGAAGGGAGAGTATCAAAGAATCTTGCGGATATATTTTTAAATCACTTTAGTAAGAATCATCTATGTTATTCTGTGTCGCAGCAGTTTGTCCAGAAAGACCTTTCTAACAGTAGAGCTACACAAGAACGGAGCAGGTGCCTCACTGAGAGGTGCACTCCCTCCTTGAAGCGTGTAAGCAGAGCAAAGCAATCCAGCAGCTCAGAGATGGAAGAAGTTTAATGCCAACAAGGGTTCAGGACTCTAGCGTTGGACAAATATTTTTCAAATATTTGAATGTTTTCAAGTATTTCCAGTTGTCCATATAATTTGGATCCCTAAGAAATGGCCAGAATTGGCCCATCAAGTGTACAAAGTGAGTTCGATGTCCATGGCCAGAATGGAGTCTCAGAGCCACCAACTCCATGTCACAGCTC